TTCACACCCTCACTCGCTCTCAGGCACACAGGTCATAACTTCTTTTCAACCAGGTTTAAATACTTGTTGACAAGCCTCGACAAGGCCAAATCTTGCATGTTTTTAACTGCATATGAATATCATGTTTAAAACATTAATCTGCCTGATAAACGTTAAACATTGATGTATATTAGAGAGAATTCACATTCAAATGATTTGTTTCAGAAAGACATTAGCTGACAGTTTCCATGGTAATGACGAATGGTGTATGCAGATGTCAGTACACTGGGCTAGAGGGGAAACATGGGATACAAATGATACCAATTGTCAACAGTTAGCAAATGCACACAAGTAGAAATCTGTGAAAATATTTGAAATTGTGTTATTCCAGTTCCACTTGGTCAGTATGAGTGCTGTAACAAAGGAGTGTTTTTGTGTTGCAAGTGTTACATTGAGAGCTTCATTTAGTCATATTGGAAAGTGGCTGAACATATTTGATGACGTTGATGAGCGGCATACTGTTTGCTTTGACAGAACCAAAAATCAGACAAAATGCCTCAAATTTAGAATCCCAGCCTTGAAAATGCTTTAATTGTAATCTGCCTTTAAAAGACTGTAATATTTTTGGTAATGTTCTTTATAAAGATTACTTGTTTTGGTCTGGTTTTAACAATTATGCCAGTCCCACAGACACAAGCCAGTGTATACCAATCAAGCTATGACATTTTATAATTAAGGGCAAGTGTTCTTAGTGAAGATCCGGGTTACAAATGCTCTTCAGCAACCAGTGCTGCTTGAGTATCAGTATCAGGTGGTCAGACCTGCTTACTTGGTTGGTGCATGTCATCGTATCCCTATTGTGTAAATTGATGCTCATGATGTTGATCTTTCATCCAAACTAGGTACATGTATTGTTCAGGGGCTCAAGTGATGCTTTTTGTTATTTTTAGGATTTGTTTTTTTCTGTTTCCATGGCAACAAGTTTTAATTTGACTCTGTTTATATTAGCGTATACTTGACATAGAAATATGAAGTTCCGAATCCCAATTCAATGGTATTGTTTTGATAATAATTGACTCTGTTCATTCTCTTGAACTAGTTGATAAGTTTTCTTGACACTTTTCACACACATAGACCAGGTTGTGAACTGGTGCTTATTGCTATTTAGGGATTTTTAGAATCTATATTCTGTTTCCATGGCAGCAAGTTTGACTTTCATATTGGTTTGTAACTGACATAGAAACATAAAGTTCCAAAATCCCAATTCCATGCTATTGTTTTGATAGCTCAATAAACTCTTGCATACGGACAGACAGATTAGATAGACATTCTCTCATCAAGATGGACTTGATGTAATAGTCAGATGATTTGTTCTTGCAAATTTGTAGGAGATGGATTTGGGAAAATAAAATAAATAATGAAAGATATAACATTTCACATTTCCAGTTTGTGATGTCGGGACCAATAGATGATCATCTTCCAGAGGCAAGGGAGTTAACTGACTATAAAAGTCCAGTTTCCACCCTTGCAGAACTAGGCTGGAGTTTCAGAGATCCATTTACTTATTTATCAGAGTTACTTGTTCAGCACCAAGTCACCACTCTCTCTACTGTCAACTGACTTTTTCAGCAGCATGTCATCACACTGTCTACTGGGGCGGTCGGGTAGCCTAGTGGTTAAAGCGTTCGCTCGTCACGCCGAAGACCCGGGTTCGATTCCCGACATGGGTACAATGTGTGAAGCCCATTTCTGGTGTCCCCCGCCGTGATATTGCTGGAATATTGCTAAAAGCGGCGTAAAACCATACACACTCACTCACTCACACACTGTCTACTGTCTAACATGACACTGTCCATGTGTGGTATATTAGACATGACCTACTCAGCAGCAAGTCATCACACTGTCTACTGACTTATTCAGCAGCAAGTCATCACACTGTGTACTGTCTAACATGACACTGTCCATGTGTGGTATATTAGACATGACCTACTCAGCAGCAAGTCATCACACTGTATACTGTCAACTGACTTATTCAGCAGCAAGTCACCATTCTCTCTACTGTCAACTGACTTATTCAGCAGCAAGTCATCACACTGTCTACTGTCAACTGACTTATTCAGCACCAAGTCACCATTCTGTCTACTGTCAACTGACTTATTCAGCAGCAAGTCATCACACTGTCTACTGTCAACTGACTTATTCAGCACCAAGTCACCATTCTGTCTACTGTCAACTGACTTATTCAGCACCAAGTCACCATTCTGTCTACTGTCTACTGACTTATTCAGCAGCAAGTCATCACACTGTCTACTGTCAACTGACTTATTCAGCACCAAGTCACCATTCTGTCTACTGTCTACTGACTTATTCAGCAGCAAGTCATCACACTGTCTACTGTCTAACATGACACTGTCCATGTGTGGTATATTAGACATGACCTAATCAGCAGCAAGTCATCACACTGTCTACTGTCTAACATGACACTGTCCATGTGTGGTATATTAGACATGACCTACTCAGCAGCAAGTCATCACACTGTCTACTGTCTAACATGACACTGCCCATGTGTGGTATATTAGACATGACCTACTCAGCAGCAAGTCATCACACTGTGTACTGTCTAACATGACACTGCCCATGTGTGGTATATTAGACATGACCTACTCAGCAGCAAGTCATCACACTGTCTACTGTCTACTGACTTATTCAGCAGCAAGTCATCACAGTGTCTACTGTCTAACATGACACTGTCCATGTGTGGTATATTAGACATGACCTACTCAGCAGCAAGTCATCACACTGTCTACTGTCTAACATGACACTGTCCATGTGTGGTATATTAGACATGACCTACTCAGCAGCAAGTCATCACACTGTGTACTGTCTAACATGACATTGTCCATGTGTGGTATATAAGACATGACCTACTCAGCAGCAAGTCATCACAGTGTCTACTGTCTACTGACTTATTCAGCAGCAAGTCATCACACTTTCTACTGTCTAACATGACACTGTCCATGTGTGGTATATTAGACATGACCTCCTCAGCAGCAAGGCATCACACTGTCTACTGTCTAACAACACACTGTCCATGTGTTGTATATTAGACATGACCTAATCAGCAGCAAATCATCACACTGTCTACTGTCTAACATGACACTGCCCATGTGTGGTATATTAGACATGACCTACTCAGCAGCAAGTCATCACACTGTCTACTGTCTAACATGACACTGCCCATGTGTGGTATATTAGACATGACCTACTCAGCACCAATTCATCACAGTGTCTACTGTCTAACATGACACTGCCCATGTGTGGTATATTAGACATGACCTACTCAGCAGCAAGTCATCACACTGTCTACTGTCTAACATGACACGGCCCATGTGTGGTATATTAGACATGACCTAATCAGCAGCAAGTCATCACACTGTCTACTGTCTAACATGACACTACCCATGTGTGGTATATTAGACATGACCTACTCAGCAGCAAGTCATCACAGTGTCTACTGTCTAACATGACACTGTCCATGTGTGGTATATTAGACATGACCTACTCAGCAGCAAGTCATCACACTGTCTACTGACTTATTCAGCAGCAAGTCATCACACTGTGTACTGTCTAACATGACACTGTCCATGTGTGGTATATTAGACATGACCTAATCAGCAGCAAGTCATCACACTGTCTACTGTCTAACATGACACTGTCCATGTGTGGTATATTAGACATGACCTACTCAGCAGCAAGTCATCACACTGTCTACTGACTTATTCAGCAGCAAGTCACCATTCTCTCTACTGTCAACTGACTTATTCAGCACCAAGTCATCACACTGTCTACTGTCAACTGACTTATTCAGCAGCAAGTCATCACACTGTCTACTGTCAACTGACTTATTCAGCACCAAGTCACCATTCTGTCTACTGTCAACTGACTTATTCAGCACCAAGTCACCATTCTGTCTACTGTCTACTGACTTATTCAGCAGCAAGTCATCACACTGTCTACTGTCAACTGACTTATTCAGCACCAAGTCACCATTCTGTCTACTGTCTACTGACTTATTCAGCAGCAAGTCATCACACTGTCTACTGTCTAACATGACACTGTCCATGTGTGGTATATTATACATGACCTACTCAGCAGCAAGTCATCACACTGTCTACTGTCTAACATGACACTGTCCATGTGTGGTATATTAGACATGACCTACTCAGCAGCAAGTCATCACACTGTCTACTGTCTACTGACTTATTCAGCAGCAAGTCATCACAGTGTCTACTGTCTAACATGACACTGTCCATGTGTGGTATATTAGACATGACCTACTCAGCAGCAAGTCATCACACTGTCTACTGTCTAACATGACACTGCCCATGTGTGGTATATTAGACATGACCTCAGTACCAAGTCATCACACTGTCTACTGTCTAACATGACACTGCCCATGTTTGGTATATTAGACATGACCTACTCAGCAGCAAGTCATCACACTGTGTACTGTCTAACATGACACTGCCCATGTGTGGTATATTAGACATGACCTACTCAGCAGCAAGTCATCACACTGTCTACTGTCTAACATGACACTGTCCATGTGTGGTATATTAGACATGACCTACTCAGCAGCAAATCATCACACTGTGTACTGTCTACTGACTTATTTAGCAGCAAGTCATCACAGTGTCTACTGTCTAACATGACACTGTCCATGTGTGGTATATTAGACATGACCTACTCAGCAGCAAGTGATCACACTGTCTACTGTCTACTGACTTATTTAGCAGCAAGTCATCACAGTGTCTACTGTCTAACATGACACTGTCCATGTGTGGTATATTAGACATGACCTACTCAGCAGCAAGTCATCACACTGTCTACTGTCTAACATGACACTGTCCATGTGTGGTATATTAGACATTTTATGATTTATCTCCACACTATTGTGGTCCACTTACACAAATCACAAACTTCTTTCATAATTCCTACCCAATGTGGACCCTGTCGGATAGAAAGCACCACACCTGATTAATGTTCTCTATGGTGAAGTTATTGACCATCTTAACAAAGCCAGCATGAGTCGGCCTCCCCAGGAGTCCCTGCACAACCCTCAGGCTACACTGAAGTATGGGAAATTAGTTCCGAGGATTAGGAAGCTAGCCTGCTATGGCATATTAAGAAATAGTGACAATCGCAAACTGTTCAGGAAACTGAACATGACCAGTTCACAAGCTTCCAGGAAAGGGATGAGTTACAAGTCACAGAGTTAACTCCAGCTTAGTGTTGGAGAAGCTGGTGATGGTAAGGGAGAGCCATCAGCTGGAGTGCCAGGGTGCTTGTGTGTGTATGAGTTTGTTGTTTTACTCTGCACACACAAATACTTGAACGACACAGAAGTATATGACAGCTGCTTGTAAGTAAACGATTCAAGACCAGACAATCCTGTGATGTGAGGAACGATCCATGCAGTCAGGGTATGATGACACACAAACAACAAAATCACTGAATCTCACTACCAGATCCATTTCAGCGAACTGCAACTTTTGCCACTGGTCCGAAGCCCGAGTCTAGTAAAATTCTGTTGAGTCTAGTAGGCTCACTGACAAGGCAATGTTATAACACTACAATGTACAACAGGAAATGCAATGAGCCAAGGTCTGGCTAGTAGGTTTTTTTTTTTTTTCTAAAGATAGTTTTCAGGTATGTGCATAATCCATATTTAATGGCTAGCGATCTGGACTTGTAGAAATGTAAACATAGTGACAAGGATTAAATTTCATTCGCCTTGAGGCAAGTAATCATGTTTTCATTAAGTCATCCAATATTAGCCTCCAAGCTGTGACACACGATACCTTGAAGATGACCTGGTCGAGACAAGTGTGGATGTATGCTATAGTCAATTAGCTGCAAACTCATACTGAGGAAATGCTAAATAGATATATACCCAAAAGCAACAACTTGTCTTAAATAGCAGGAAAGTTATTTATTTGTCAATAGGACCTCATCACCAATATTTCAGACATTGTCATGTAGGGTAGGAAAAGTTGTTTAACATACTCTCTTGTAATTGTTGATGGGTTTTTTGCCTGTTATAAGGGGGTCTGCACTGTAAACTGAACAGCCCTACAATTGCACGTGAAATTCGCGTGTGTTAGGCCAACCCACTACTGTCTTTTTTGTAATAAAAATCCTGTCAAATGAAAAGTCTAAATCAAAAGCGCCCTGTCTGTAGTAGTTAAAGGGAATATACAGTGAGAATCTGTAAAATATTCTCAAAGGAATGTAGGCATGTTCTTGGTATTGCTATTCAACTAATTTCAAATGAAAATAATAAAATAAACAGAACAAGCTCAATATATCATTTTCCCATGAAAATCCGTGATAGAATAGGTCTTCAGCAACCCATGCTTGCCGTAAAGGCGACTATGCTTGTCGTAAGAGGCGACTAACGGGATCGGGTGGTCAGGCTCGCTGACTTGGTTGATGCATGTCATCGTATCCCAATTGCGTGGATCAATGTTCATAATGTCAGTCACTGGATTGTCTGGTCCGGACTTGATTATTTACAGACCACTGTCATATAGTTGGACTATTGCTGAGTGCGGCGTTAAACAACAAACAATGTGGTACTTGATGAAATTCACAGGTGATTTGAAAACCTTGCCTTTGATAGGCATTACTTAGAAGTTGAGGAATGACAAAATAGTAACGATTTATGGATCTTGCTTGACAATGGTATAAGCATCTATACTGAAACGTCGCCTTTACAGTATTAAAGAAGTTGTTATCCATAAATTGTGTCTACCTTGGTATTTCATGTTTGTAATTATTGCAATTCAGAGGGGGGTAAAGATTCACATTGTGAAAGAGATGGTTTAGATCATGCAACTGTCAGTCAAATTGTTATGCAGTTGACAGTGACAGTGACAATGAAAATATTTCAGAATAGAAGTTATGAGACTGTCCCTGTGTTCCGCGATGGCCTTCAGCTGTTATGTTTATTACACAAACTCCCTTGGTACAACAGGCATGAAACCACCAACAATTACATGAGAGTTGGTTAAACAACTTTTTTTTACTTCATGACAATGTCTGAAATTATGGTGACGAGTTGGTATGGACAAATAAATAACTTTCATGACATTTAAGACGAATTGTTGCTTTCGGATGTATATATTTGCATTTTATCTGTCTGATTTTGCAGCCAACGGACAGTAGCATTGAAAGTATACTACTCAAAACGAGTACACTACGTAAAGAACGCCCACAAATGGCTTCCAGACAATCGTCCACCCAGACTGGTCACTCCGAGTATCCTTGAGTTGTATACTTGAAGGCAGCACCAATCAGTGTTTGGAAACAGTGGGGCCTGACTATATACTATGGTGTCCTCGAGGTCGGTGGCTAGACTCCGCAACCTCAGCCACAAGACTGGTTGGCTCTCAGACCATTCAGATAGAGCATGGATATTGCAAAATGCCATACAACAAACCAAAGTATAGGACTCAATGTAAAATAGGAATTTTCTAAATGAAAGTATTTTTAATAAATTTCACAATTTAAAAATCTAAAAGAAATTCTTATAGTAAACCTGACCATCATCTGTGACAGTGAACTATGTTGTTTAACTCTCTAATATATTCTTCAAAAATTGAATTGATAAAAAAAGTGTACGAATATAAAGGTTGAAAGTTGATGATCCTAAATATCTGAGAATTTCACTGAACCAGTGACCTAGATATTATGTGACTGACTCCATTTCCTCAAAGGTATCTTCAGCTGACCTAATGGACGAGGCTTTAGATTCATTGTGTTTTCTGTCACAGGCCGAGACAAAAAGCGCTGATCCTGACCTCAGTCATAAAGACTGAAACAAGTCTCGGACTCAACAATAAGCGGACCACTGTCTCCTCAGCCCATTGGTGAGTACACGATGCATGCTACATATACAGCTCTGTTTGTCTTTGCCGGTAAACTTGTCCTTAGTTTGTTTTGTCCGAGACTAGTGATCCGCGTGTTGAAAGTGTGTAACAAACAGGTCATTGAGTCGGGCGTTCAGTGAGTGAGATTTACAGGGAGGGTAGATTTGGAGGGGCTAAACGCTCCGGTAGTTGCCAGATGGCTGTGGTTTTGTGGCTTACTTTGATACTACCGGTGTCTGACAGTATTGTGTTGATGTCACTGACCTCAGACTCGGGTAGCTGAGGTCAGTACAGGTTGAGGGGCTCGAGATCACTAGTTTGGGATGTATTGGATGCAAGGCTTTGGTGTGTGTACAGTTTTTTATGTAGGGTCAGGTCAGGTGGCTATGTCAGGTCAATATGCGGCAATAGTATGTGAAACTAGGATATTCCTAAAATAAAATAAACAACTATTATCAACAATGGTGTAAATTAAACGTGTAAGTCAGGGGGTCCTTGTCAAAACCCAAATGTTAAAATCTAAAGATTTAGGAGCACCTGATTCTAGTACCACAGCAGATATCCCTTGAACAATGCATAGGTTATAACTCCTTGACTGTCATGGTTCATTTAGAACACTGATCACTTGCACTGTGATGTTTTTGAAATGAAGCATACATGTCAAAGGGCCCTTGTTATTACCATAATGTAAAATATTAATATTTAGTATGGCTAATTAGATCGCTAATTGGAATTATTGTTGATTGAAAGAAACATTAACGATTATGGATATGAAATTGTTGTCGTCGATTATAACTTGCATAAACTATTGTGATGAAGTTTAGATTTACCAAAACAGACTTGTTATTTCCAACATGTCAATTGTCGAAGACGGAAAGCAACTGTTTTTGTTATATCTCTTAAGTCAATCCATGCATAAATGTGTCTCTGCTCCCAAGTGGGGTGAAATATGTTGATTTCTTTCGGAACTTTTTTTATATTTGCTTAAGTTACTTCCCCAATATTTATTGATAATTGCTAGATATTTGGTTAGCGATTATCTCCATGATCTATATCAGTGGCCAGCCCTAATATTTAGTTGCCCTTAGATTCTCTGATAAAGGCCCAATTCTCAAGGTCTTTACTTCATAATGACTGGTTGAGCTCTCAAAAACCTCAATTTTCTGTATATGTACTAAATAGGTAAGTAAAGATACATCTAGTTAATTGCAGCACATTGAGTCCAATATGATACAATGTTATCTGACTGAACTGTATATAATTTATATTTTTATTATTTTGTCTTGTGAATAACAACAAGGCAGACGAAGGAAACAAACCATATTTTATGTGTAAGTGAACAAAACCAAGTACATGGGAGTTTCCTAATGTACCAGAAACCCATTCTTGCAGTAAGAGGCAACTGTGCTTGTTGTAAGTGGCCACTGTGTTGTCGTAAGAGGCAACTGTGCTTGTTGTAAGTGGCCACTGTGTTGTCGTAAGAGGCCACTGTGGTTGTTGTAAGAGGCAACTGTGCTGTCATAAGAGGCAACTGTGCTTGTCGTAAGAGGCGACTGAGCACAGGTCAGCAGTAGAAACTAACATTTTTAGTCCACTAGTCTTTATAATGATAACATATCCCTTAAAACCCTTTAAAAAGTAGTTTGGCGAGGATGACAGGACTAGTGCCAGTTTCTGACATTGCACTGTGGAACTTAACATGACGTCAACTGAGAGTGTACAGGTTACTTTGTTAACGACACTTTGGTAACACGCGGGCTTCCAGAAAGGATAGCCCACTTGCCCCCTCCAACAAACCAGTCTTATGCAGTCATGAATATTCATAGGGTGTCTGATCCCCTCATGAATATTGATGAGACCCCCAGCAGAGCCTGGTGGTTCATTGCTCCACTCTGGCCAAGATCCACCAGGTTTGTGTGCCAAGTGTGTACTCTGTCTACGACCAGCACAACACAGTAGCTTCTCTTTGTCGAATTGGTATAACCTCGCCTGTAGCCCCGCAAAGAATCTTTTTCATGTTTCTTAATTTAGATACTGCGTTTTTGCAATCATTCTTGTGTTGGTCTTTTGTCTGGAGAAGTGTCACTTGTTTCGGGGATATCAAAAATTCAGACAAGGGTTTTTGTGTTTTATATTGGATGGTTTTTGGACAGTGTAATATAGGAACATTAAGTGTCAATGCGATATGATGATATAGACTTTACAAATTTTAAACGAGTTTATAACTTAAATTTAACTATTTTGAGATGACTTAAATGTTACATATTTGTTAAATTTATCTCTCACTTATGATGCTTAGCTGAGCAGTTTTTGACCTGAAACTGATTTTTTTTACTTGAAATTGGAAATCTAGATCTGAACATATACATGTTAAGGTTTAAGTTTATGCTTGTAACCTTTTGGCTTAAAAAGATGGTTTGTGAGATAAAAAGTGAGATTGTGTGTTAAGTAGTGTTTAGTTGTTTTTAGTAGTGTTTTGAAGCGTATATCACTGGCTTCCTATAATATCATTGTTGGATATAAGTGCCTGCTCATAGGCCCGTGGCAGGTAGATCTTGTGTCGGGCCCGTGGCAGGTAGATCTTGTGTCAGGCCCGTGGCAGGTAGATCTTGTGTCGGGCCCGTGGCAGGTAGATCTTGTGTCGGGCCCGTGGCAGGTAGATCTTGTGTCGGCCCCGTGGCAGGTAGATCTTTTTTCGGGCCCGTGGCAGGTAGATCTTGTGTCGGCCCCGTGGCAGGTAGATCTTGTGTCGGGCCCGTGGCAGGTAGATCTTGTGTCGGCCCGTGGCAGGTAGATCTTGTGTCGGGCCCGTGGCAGGTAGATCTTGTGTCGGGCCCGTGGCAGGTAGATCTTGTGTCGGGCCCGTGGCAGGTAGATCTTGTGTCAGGCCCGTGGCAGGTAGATCTTGTGTCGGGCCCGTGGCAGGTAGATCTTGTGTCGGGGCCCGTGGCAGGTAGATCTTGTGTCGGGCCCGTGGCAGGTAGATCTTGGGTCGGGCCCGTAGTTTGAAATTTGGATGGGTCCTTATGGCCTGCAGTAAATTTTCATGTCAAATTATTTTGACACAATTACCTGCAATTTTGTTTAATGAGGGCCTGAAGAGTTTAGTCTGGGTCTCCAGCTTTTCACATGTACAACCAATTAATAATCAATTAATTATCACTTGGTTTAGCTAGTGATAAAAAATGATAAAAATGATTATTTTGATCCAGAGAATACAGACAATCATGGTCATCATGATTAGGTTGTTTTTAATTATTAATTTGCAACCCTGATTACCATATATGTATATTTCTAATTGCCTCAGGTTGGGATTGCAGTGATTTTGCTCGAGACAAATGGCACTAAAACATTTACATGATGTTATTAACTTTGATCTGAAGGCCATTTTTGATAGCAGTCAAGTCTGTCCCAGAAAATGAATGGGTCTGAGCGCCTTGACTCTGTATACACTAGCGGGGTCATCCGGTGGACCAGATACAGCTCTATTGGTCAGTGTGTGTGTGTAGACAGTGGCCACAAGTTGTTCAAGGGCAGGGGCTGTCTGGCAGGGGTGTCTGTCTCCTGTATTGAGGTCACTGTTTAAATATATTCAGTCTGAAAATGTCCCCCCAACTACCGCTATATGCTGTCCAGGGTTTTATGCAACACAGAAATGTGTGTCCAGTACGCACAAATGTATAAAATGGACACAGAAAAAAGACTATTTTGCATCCCAAGGGACGCACAATAAAAAATCCATTGTCCAAAATTCTTGAAAAGAAATATAAAAGTATCTGTATTAAAGTAATTATTAAATCTTACAGCACAGTACACTATACCATATCCTTACTTAACTGGCCCCTCATATACCCTCAGCCTGTAATGACCTTGAAATGAGTAATTGGGGGTCGGTCCTCTCACCCCTAGTTTTGTAGGTCAAGGTAAAACCCTGATGTTTCATGTAAGATGTGTGGGTTGCAGATAGATCGTCATTTGTAATGAGGAAAGGGAGGATGTAAATTTACATTATTAATTTTTCAATATAACTTTGATTACTGCTAATTTGAAAGATACTCTCTCATCGCCATCGTAGTTATTTTAAAGATTGGTAGAATAGTTTAAACTTTATATATTTATCTAAAAATATTTTACCCAAACACAATTAGGTGTTGTTTTACTGATCCAAACAAATGGTTATTTTACAAGAGAAAACAAGTTTTTTAAGTTAAGTTTATTTTTCGAAAACACTCTTTACACTCTAATGGCCTCTCAAATTAATAAATAAGTTTTGAAATGATTATTATTTTGGTGTCCTTTTAAGGACATTTTTGACTAACCTTCTAAATATTGCATCGCAATGAAAAATAGATAAAATAATATTGAAAGAATATTGACAATGTTGAATCAAGGATTTAGTTTAAATAACTCCTTGAGTTTCAGAAATATGTCAGTGGAATAAATTGAGTCATTAAGTCTTGTGTGAACCAAGTAAACTGTATAACTAAAGGTGATCCATACAAACCAAAACATTTGGCCTAATAATCCATATAATGTTTGTTTGTTGTTCAACGCGCACTCAGTAATATGCCAGCTTTATGACATCGGTCTGTAAATAATTGAGTCTGGACCAGACAATCCAGTGATTGATATCATGAGCATCGATCTATGCAGTTGAGCTATGCATCGACCAAGTCAGCAAAGCCGACTACTAGTCCGCCACCTCTTATGACAAGCAGTGCTGCCTTTTACGGCAAGTATTGGTTGCTGAAGACCTGTGTCAATATAAGATATATAACACCAATAATCGATATATATTGATTGGTATCAATGTTAGTTATTCCGACTTGACCACCTGTACCCCTTTACCTGAATGAAAGACGTGTTTGTTTGTTTGTTTGTTTGTTTGTTTGTTTAACACAGAACTCAGCAAATATTCTAGCCACATGTAAGTAATTGAGTCTGGACAAGACAAGACGAGGCAAGACAATCCAGTGCTGGATATTGTGAGCAACAATCCA